CATAAGAGATAATTGAATTTTTCTTTACAACTGGAAAAAATAACGAGTTGTAAGGAAAAATCGTATTGATTTTTTAAGTAAATAAGTAAATTCCATACGTTAAAATGATAATTTCTTTATTTTACAGGATGTGTACCATTTCTCACAAAATTCCATTTTGCCAAAAAGGTTTCTTCTTTTTTTTATTTTCTTCGAGATCGAAATTTCCATCTCTAAATTTTGCAAACCATTTGCTAACAATTTTTCTGACAATCTACCTTCTCTGTAAAAATGATACACCTCATTTGCTGTTTTAGTGGCATTTTTCAATTTTAACAAGAGAACAAAAGAATTTTCTTCGTGTATACAAGAACCGATAATAAACATCGATAGAACTCCTACGAAATTATCACTTAATCGTTCATGTGTCCAAAAAGAATACTATCAAAGTTACATCTTCCTCGTTCTTCGTAACTAGAAATGAACATTACCGCTCACCCCAAAAAAACAACAATACTACCAAATCGTTCCATCGTTACCGAAATACCTGAAATAGTGGTAGATACTATCCTCAGCATCCCTAGATCAAAAAATAAACCGCACACCCATATTCGTACCCTCCCATCTTCAACTCCTGACCTGGACGGAGCTCAAAACTGCGGGCCGTTGTGCCAGAAATTCGTTGAAATCGATTAACCCGCAAAAATTCGAAGAATCCACGGAACACAATGTCTCTTCTTCAACCTGGCTGAAACATCTCGCAATGGAGGAACAAGCGAGATGTACATAATTAATTCGACTGACACGGGAGTCAGAGTCGCTTCACGAACCGTTTCAATTATCCCCGCGCAATCTTACGGACTTGCCGACGAGACCGACAGGTCTGGCCCGCGTCTTTTATCCCAGCAATGCGGCAGGGAATTAAGAGCAAGAGCTGGCCACAGCTGTTGTAAACCGAGCGTTGTGTTTCGCGCGCAAACGAAAATCAACGCAGCGCGTATGGAACGGCAGGCACGTGCGATCTTTATCTATAGATCGCGGATCACGGAAACGGCGGGATAGAACGGGGGCAAAATGTCGGGCCAGCTCTGGCACAGATTCGTTTACCAAGGGCCAAATTTATGCATTACTACAAAGCGACCGGTCTGATATAACCAGGTTTTTGGCTATCGGCCACGAGCTCCTGGTGTCTACAACTTCGAGTGTGTTTTTCACGTTTTAAACGGTACGCGTAAACAGGCGGATTTCGTTGGTGATCGAACGGAGAGGTGTTACCATTGAGTGTAGAAAACGTCGATATCGACGAAGAATGAAGTTTCTGTCTAGATCCGACGAGTAAAGAGTGATTTCGTTAGAGTCCCGCGTGAACCGAAAGACAACGTTTCGAGCCGTGGGCGTGACCACCCCTGTCGTAGACGAAAGATTACGTCGACGGCGTCTGCGTAGACGTAAAATAGCTGTAGCCGTGTGGAAGAAAGTTCGTTGCCCTGTTTTCATCGCGATAGATGCAATTACCGAGACGCCACGTCGCCGTGCGAAATCTCGTCAACTTCGTTAGACCGCAGTACTTAGTTGATCCAGTGGCTATTGTCATTTTAACGTGTATCTTGGGATATCTTTTTCGGAGGACGGATGCCGGGTCACCGCTGACCCGGCTTTTAGATGTCTTTTGTTCGAACCGGCATTCGAAACAGAGTCACGTTTCTCTTTTTTTTTTATGTTGTAAATATATTTGTTATTTTAGTCAGAATGTATTTGTACAATTTTAAACAATGTGATGACTAGTAAAATGAAAAAACAAATGTGATTTGGCTTGCGTACGGAAAAGATTTAAGTACTGGGTCATATTTGACCCGGCCAACGGTGTAACGAGAACATAGGTAAAAAGAATGAGAAACAGAAGAACGTGAAATCTCAAAACTTGACTCTTTTTATTTTTGAAAACGAGTCGTGGCAGCTGTGCGACTGT